GCCTCCTCTCCATCTGATCTATGTACTAATGGGGGGGGGGAGGGGTGGAAGGGGGAGGAGGAAAAGCAAGCAAGTCATTCCAGATGAGAGAAGCGCAAAGGGAGATTATAGTTCAAAGGCATCTGCTCTGAATGTCTTACGAAAAAAAGACATCTTTACTGTGCTTGAAGATACACCTCTTCCTTATTTCTCTCAAAGAGAATCAGGTCTTCCTCCAAAGAGGTCATCCCAAGGGCATGGCACAAACCTGCCCATCAAAAATTCACTTTCATCTCCCCAGGGTTTCACAGGCTAGAAACCGGCACTGTTAATTTGAATGGAAGCAGTAGAAAACCACCCACCGCCAGCAGCTTCCAGTCCGGAAAGAGCAGCAAGGGGATACGGTGGTAGGCTCGGATTAAAAACAAAAACAGAAGTCCAACCAGAAAGGCAGCCAACTGGGCTTGCTATTTATCCTGCCAGCTTTGCAAATGTAGGAGTCAGGAGAGAGTGAGAAATTCATCTTCCAGCTTCCCCATCGCGACTGCTTGATTAGCTGATGGAACTCCCTGTTACAAGATGAAACGCCGGATATTTCAAAACAGAGGTGGCATATCTGAGTATCTTGCATCACAAAATCCACTATTCTAGTTCAAGGGCAAACTCAGCAGGTGCGGCCAAGAAGCCCAAATTCCCTGCGTTGTCTTCCACAAAAACCAGATGTCAAAGTCCATAAATAAAACCTCTCATACCTGTCCCAAACACCTGGAGGACCTTCTGGAGCCACAGCCTCTGTTTGAGGGAGGTTGCGGCCAGGAGGGTCTTTGTTCAGTTTCAGCCGATGCCCCACCTGTGGCCTTACCCAGAACAGGATGGATGGAAGACAGTCACTCATGACCTTGCCATCTCTCACTTAGCTAACCCTAATTTGTTGTACACAGGGCTGCCCTTAAAAAAACCCTGGAAATTTCAGCTGGACCAAAATGCTGTGGCCTACATGCTTACTGGCCAGTTTCAAGATGCCATATTACATCACTGCTGCATTTGTTACCAGTATAACCCCAAATGTTATACACAGTGCTGGATCCTGCCTTTAAAGCCCTATATGGCTTGGGGTCTGGATAGTCTATCTGACCACCTTGACCAAATAAATTCTGCCCACCCAGCCCAGAGCGCCTACTAAGGATCTTCTCCTACCAAGGGGTATGATGGAAGGTGCCCTGACAGTAAGGGGACCTCTGTAGGGATCCTCTTCCTATGGAATAGCCTATCCGCCCCAAGGTGAGAATGGCCCCATTCTTATGGGGCTTTCTAGAAAATTGTAAAGGTTTTCCAAGGGCTTTGGGGGATTAACTGTGGAACTAGCGATGCCAGACTCAGTTTTATTATATTATTTTATATGTGATATAACATATCATGTAATGTCACCTCTCTCATACACACATATGTAGTAAGTAACTGCCTAGAATCCAATCCGACTGAGGCAGGGTATAAATTTAATCAATCGATACAAATAAAGATCTACCTCCCCCCAGAAGCTTTTTTTTTTCCACCATAGAGGAAAGCGATTTAGTTTACTCGCATTAAATACAGCACCTGGTTTTCAAGCACATTTCTTCCTTGTGGGGATCTCAAAACCTCTAATGAAACTGATTTGTAATAGGACAGTCACAGTAAAACTTCAAATGCTCTAGAATTTGCTTCTCTTTCTATTGTTTGGCTTTTGCAAGTTCCTGCCCTTTCCCTTCAAGATGCACCTAGAGACCTACCTATCCACCAACTAACCAAAATGATTAAACACAGGATGATGGGTTCTATCCCACCAAAACCTTTGTCACGATGTACTCATTGGTCTTCTTAGGTGCCACAAGATTGTTTTTCTCCAAGACAAAGTTACATCTCTAGTTCCTATACTGAATTAATTCATCCCTCCACATTGGTGCTGGCCACTAGGGAAGGTACTTTGTAAAGCAATTAGAAGGATTCGTAATTTACCAACAGCACTAATGGACCCTCCTGAGCTAAACCTCTAAGGAATAGATATGGGAGTAAAACAAAAAATCCCGAAGAGGTAAATTTATTTGGAGCAACAGAGTAGCCTACCCTATCCTGCTGTGTAGGGATTGCTGGCTAAGAGCTCCAGGGGTTCAGTTCCAATGCAGCTAAAAGGCATCAGTTCAGGAAGACGGCCAATGGACATTACCAACCCTTCTTCAAGTAGGTTCTCAGCACATCCACTGATTTCAACCTCAGGACAAACTGACCTATATCATCTCAGTTAAAGACTTTCAGAAATAGAACACCTTTTCCAAGCTCTACATTATGTGTGTAGGACTACTGAGCTGCTCCTGTGGCATTTTCCCAATGGCTGAGATCCTCTTCCCCGTACTGGCTCCTTGAAAAAGACTGGCCCTTCAGAACACAGCAGCTGCTTCCTTCATTGCAAGGCCAGGCTGTGGCCATGTGCCCAACAGTGAGAGATTTACAGTGCGGTCAGACTAGGAAGATGGGGAGGGTTTTCTGATGATTAGAAAGCACAGGTTATAGAAAGAAGGGAATTATGATGGAATTGGAGAGAGTGGTTTGATTGGAATTGTATGCATAATTGCCGAAGGAGATTGGAAGCCATTTCTTTATATTTATATTTATATAATTTTTTTCATGCTTTGTTTTTTATTATTTCCATCTTTTTTCTCTGTTTTTTCTTTCCTTTTTTTTCTTTTTCACACTTACTTTGCTATATATTTTTTCTTTCTTTGAATGTATTTATTATCTATGTAAAATCTTTTAATAAAAACTATTTTAAAAAAAGGAAGATGGGGAGGGGGTAGTAAAAAAAAAGAGAAGGCAGAATGATGCATTTTGGTATACTTTTTTAAATGGAAAAACATAAAGTAGTTTATGAATCAGATATATGAGACTTCAGAATATGGTTCTGAATGGGGACACCATGTCCTAATAGCACTTGGCTTATACCAGAGGTATCTATTCTCCTGAAAACAGAGGCTAAAAAGAAAGGCATGCCAACTATGTTCTTAGCACATACATGCTCTCAAACCTGGAAGGACTAAGAGGGACTAACAGACCCTCTAATGGACTTAAGAATTTCCCACCCATTCTTGAATAACGGAGCCTGCAGGATATTTGAGGAGAGAGTCTGCAGGCAGGAATGAAGGCATAATGGTATGTGGGAACGACCCTGGGAGACGGGGAGGGAGGGGGAAGAGATGCTGCCTAGGGAACAATCAAATAAGAGAGGGGCATAGCCTGCAGCTGCAAAATGGGAAGAGAAGGAAACTCAGAAAGGAACCTCCCTAACTTCTCAGGCTGTAAAAGAGACCATGAGAGGTTTGTACTATCAGACTTTCAAGATTCTGTTAATGAAGCCTTACAATAAAGTAGAATTAGCTCATCTGGTTGTGTTTCCTGTCTGATCTACCTGGGAAGGCTGATGGAAGGGTAAACTCAGAAAGGAACCTCCCTAACTTCTCAGGCTGTAAAAGAGACCATGAGAGGTTTGTACTATCAGACTTTCAAGATTCTGTTAATGAAGCCTTACAATAAAGTAGAATTAGCTCATCTGGTTGTGTTTCCTGTCTGATCTACCTGGGAAGGCTGATGGAAGGGTTAACCATCACCTCTTTGTCTGCTGTTTCTGCCTCTCTAGGTCTGTCCCAACAGACTCTTGGGAATTCTAAAAGTTTCACCTATCTTAGCTCATTTCTATCAACAGCTGTCTCAGAATGCAATGAACATAATTGTTTCTTTGTTGACATCCTAGTCAATGGGTAGAAGCAGGCTCACTAATAGCTCTGACTAGTCTTCAGTATGCTTCCACACTTGGAAACTGTCACACAGGCTCCTGATCCCTCCAAGTTTTTCTGGTCTTACCAGAATATCAAAGGATTGGAAAAGGATCTTCTGTATGTAGATTCATTAGATTTATACTTTCTGCCTGGAACACGAAGGTGGTGAATGTGTAACAGGCATTCCTAACATTTCCCCCCTCATAACACTCAGTGAGATTGGTTAGGCGGAGAGACAGAGACTAACCTAGTCATCCATAGCAGTGGGTGGACTTAAGCTAGGATAAGGACATCAAGGCTTAATACCTTAACAGCTGTATTTCACTGGTTCTCTGGGATCAAACAGCTACCCAAATCTTATCTGTGTTCTACAGAGAGACCAGAGCATCAACAGCAGTGTCAATTCTGTCAACTGAAGGCTTCCAAGGGGCTTTCTGGAATCCCGTAGAGTCCATAAACTCCCTAGGAAGGATTATTGTACTTGGTCCTCTATTCTTCATACAGAGAATTAAAGAATTTATAAATTAAATTATCCTTATTTATTTCACTCAGTTCCGTATTTTCACCTAACTTCCGGGTTGCTGTAGCCTGTTCCAGGGGTATGCACAGCATCTTGAGAGGAAATATTTTGAAGCCAAAACTAAACTCATGAATTCCAAGACCTTCATTTTGAAATCAGAACCAAACATTCTTTTTAATTTTACACTGGAGCAAAATTTAGCTGTTTTGAGCGGTGGTATTTCAAGCAATGTCATAAAAAACAGATTTTAAAAGGCAATTCCAACCTCAAAACATACCATTTTGAATCTTCTGCACTGATAAATATATTTCAAGGTTTGGAACAAAACCCTGAACTCATTTTAAGTTTTGCTTTAATGGGACTCGGCCAGCTCAACTATTCCAGCAGAATGTTTTGAGTGGGGTTTTGTTCTAAGCTCAAACAAAACCATGTTTTCAATGTCATGCACATCCTTAGCCTGTTCCTACGTCAATCTGCACATTGTCCCTTTTGTTCTTATTTGTTTGAGTTTACAGACTGCTTTAATCCAAGATTTGGCAATTAATAATTCCCTAGTACATGAAATTTGTGTGCATTTTCACAAGCATTTTTTCTCATATATGTTTATACACTTTCCTCAGCACACTTTTTGTGCACATTTTTTAAAATTGTGAACAGCATAAAAATACTCAAAAGGGTGGGTTTCGGTTTACATTACATACTGTATGTTCAAGTTTACATACAGATTCAGAAGTGTGAACTGGAAACCAAACTAATTTCTCTATCAATACTAGAGCAGGATAATTACCAAGAGTCTAAACAGGGTGCAATCTGACTAGGAGAAGGATGCTGAAGCAAAATCTCCCACTCCTTGACCATCACCTTCTTTCCATTTAAAAAATCCAACTCTAAATTATTGGGTTGGTGACATACTGGAGAACCTCATGGTAATCCAGAGCTTCACTGTTATAGTACGAATACTGCCTTCTACAAGTCTAATATCCTAGAAATCATTTACACTAAGACCACCTCTTCAGATTCAGCAAAATGAAAGAATAGCAAAGGAGCCTAATATTTAATCAATTCCAATTTTATAACAGAATACAAGTATTAAAACCTGAAGCCCTTCAAGAAAGGCAGCAAGAAGAGATGCAATTGATTGAAGCAAGAACATTACCACTCTTCCCATCTCTCAAATTTGTAAGACACAGCTGAGAGAGGTCAATACCACCCAGTTATTGAAGATACTAGTCAGCTTATCCTAGCTGTGCTAAAAGTGGTATATTTTCTACTTGCCTTGCAAGGTGAGCCAACTTTTTGAATTAGCTTCTTCAAGAGAAGAGTACCATGGTCTTTTAATCTCTTCTTAAAAGACTTTCCTAACTGAGATTCATCATTCCTTCATTACAACAAAGCACTTCAGCACAGCAAACCTCTCAGACTCAAGAGGACACCAACTGGAAACACCTTTTGTCCAGACCATCATTCTATCAGTAGTGTACAAGACGCTTGCATACCAAAGCTACAATTTCATGCACAAATTTGGACACCCCTGGTCATATATTTCAACAAATCCCTTGGTGAACAGAAGCTGAAACAATCTCTACATGGTAAAAGTTAAACACAACATCTTTTTGCAAATTTGAATGCATACTTACTATTATTTATATGCAACAGTTTACTTACATAAAAACACTTTCTTTGGCACAAGTAACAACTTCCAAGCATTTCCTGTCACTATCTAAGAATCCTTCTATTCTTGTTTTGGGAATTTTTTCCCACTCTTCCTTGCAGAAGTCTTCCAGATTCAAAATTTTCTTAGGTTGCCTTCCGTTCAATGCACGTCTGTGACCTCTCCACAGATTTTCAGTCCTGGGGACTGTGAAGCCATTCAAACCTTTATATTTGGATGCATGTTTCAAATCATTATCCTCCTGAAATATTCAACCTCTTTTCAGCTTCAATTTCTACACTGACCATGGGATATTAGCTTCTAGGATTTGTTGATATGTAGATGAATCCATTCTTCCTTCCACCCACATAATATTTCTTGTGCCGCTGGCTGCCACACAACCTCAAAGCATAATAAAGCTACCCCCATTGGCAAGGTGTTCCTTTCTTCAAATGCTTCATCCTTTTTTCCCAAGAGTATTGTGTATGGCTATGGGCAAACAGCTCAATTTTTGTTTAATCAATCCAAGCATTTTATTCTAAAACATTTCAGGCTTATCAGGCTTTTCTTTTGTGTGCTTTAGACAATTCCTTTTGTGATGAAGTTGGAGGGAAAGTTTCCTTCTCAAAACTCTCCCATCTAGATCACTGTTGAATAGGCAATGCTGTAATGTGGACTTGCTGACGTCTATTTCAGCATCAGCTAAACTTTTCAGCAGGATTTTTGCAGTCATTTGTGGGTTCAGTTTTGCAGATATGACCAGTTTGGGGGCAGTTCTAGCAGATATTCTTCTTGATGTTCTATATATTGTCTTGATTTCAGCAGTTCCACATAACTCCTATTTCTTAAGCACACTTCTCTCCACTGAAACTGCCAGCTGGAAGCATTTAGAGATTTTTCTTATAGCCATCCCCCACTTTGTAAGAGTGAATTACCTTCATTTTCAAATGCTCAGACAGCTACTTAGAGAAGCTCACGGTTGCTGGAAGTAGACAGAACAGCCACTGCAAATGGAGAAGTCAGAAGGATCAGAGTATTTGGCTCACTTATGGAACTGTCACTGGCTTTGGCTAATGGTAGGCTTAATAAATCAATCACCTTTTGGGGCCTTCTTAATAACAGACTAAAAAGTAGTACTGAATCAGCTGGAAGGGTGTCCAACAACTGCACTTATCATAGTCGCTGTTTTCTTATTCTGAATATGTAAATGGCACATAAATAGTGAGTGTGCATTCAAATTTGCAGAAAGATGCTGGGTTTAGTTGTGTACTACCTATAGATTGTGTTAGCTTCTACTCATCTGGGGACTAATTGAAAGATAACATCTGAGAGGGACATGCCAACTTTTGCATGCAACCGTAGCACAGAGGACCACAGTACTGCTATATGGCATAAGACATTCCACAGCAGTTCCAAATTGTACCTTTGCAGGATTCCTTCTCAGTCAGTGACTAAAGGGGCATAGCAGGGGCAGGATTTGCAATATGAGAAAAAAGCCTGTTAACAAAAGGATTACGATTTAACTAATGCTGGTGGGATGCTGCAAATGTAGAATGTGATCAACAGTCAAGAGAGGCTTCATGATGACAGACAGGTAAAGCACAAAGCCTAACCTGTACAGGTGCTATAGATGGTTTTTCTCAATGCAGCTTCCAAGCACCTATCAGCATGTGGATGGCTTTTTATAAAGGGGGATGAGTGGGCAAGTTGCCCTACAAAGAGATAAGAGTAGGGCATCCCCTAATACCCATCCTGGCCCTGCCACTCAGAACAGTACCCTTCAAAATGAGATACACTTTCTACTAATATTTTTCTTTTTGAGTACAATGGCTGCAACCATGGTTCTTGGCAGAAATACACAGGACTGGACTGTAAGAATAGAAAGGAAAGAGGACTCAACTGACTGCTTATTCTTATCCAGCACTCAGAAGTGAAGGACACTGGAAAGAAAAGAGAATCCCTATGCCTAAGAAGAGATCCCCTAGGAAAAATCCAAGTGAATACTTCAGCTCAAAGATGCAGCATAAACAAATTAAATCCAGAAGTGAGGCTCACAATTTCAAAGGTTACATGGAAGAAGTTAATAATGAGAAAGACTACTCTAATAAAGGCACACACTGAAAATAAAAGGATCAGAAATACACAGCAACTGGTTGGGTGCCCTTAATGAGGCCTGGACAGCATTTGAAATTGACAGGCATGATCCAAGTATCCAGGACCTACATCACAATAAAAGTACACAACTCTGTGCAAAAAAGTATTCTGATGGAAGTAAAAGCCCACAGGTATCCAAGTATCACATTAGCTATATCCGGCCCCAGGATCTGAGGAAAAGCCAGTTTGACTGCCAGCCAACCCCATGATTCTCCTAGGCAGGGATCTATAAGAAACCATTACTATATGACCAATGAGCCAGCAAGCCTAGCATGACTGTATCAGTCTTGACCAGTAAATGACTCCTGAGGATCTTGGGCAGATGCATTTTCTGGACTGGTTTTTTAAATTCTAGGATGCCAAGGACTGAACCAGAGGCCTCAGACATGCAAAGCAGAGTCCTTCCATTCAGAGTTCTCAAGCACTTACAAGGAACTGTTAGGGAGCTCATCCGGGAAGCTGGAAAGAGAGGAGGAGTCAGTCTGCTCCTGTATACTGCCACTCCCTGTTACCAGCTGCCAGCTGCCAAAGTCGGTAGAGATGGAGGATCCGGGAAGAGAAAGGTCAGCTGATCTGAAGCAGAGAGAGAGGAGATGATGCAAATCAGTGCTTCATTCAGCAACCAGGTCTTCTGCTAAAGTTTCACTGGTATTCAGCACCTCAAAGTTACATGGTAATGCATTGTAGTTAGGGGCATAAAAAAAAAAGTGGGGAGGACCACAGATCCCATGTAGCCTCCCTCTAGAGCAAAAGACATGCCAAGCTCCTTAAGAGACCAAAAGTGCTACAGTTCAAAGCTGGTGAACTGGGCCAAACCAGGCAGTGGTCATCCTGGAACTGCAAGATCCAAGAGCCATCATGCCTAAGAGCCCAAGAAACTGATGCTGCTTCCATACAAGAGCATACCCATACCATGTCATACAGGCCAGCAGTCCCACAACATTCAAGTTCTGTAGAGCACCAGTTGAGCTTTCCAGACCTTCCCAGCCAAAGGAGAGCTCACAACCTGAAGCAACATTCCCAATTTTCTGGGAAGGAACAGCCCTTCCCAGACAGGACTTGGATCACAAAAGCAGGCATCTGTGTAGGGGAAGGCAAAAATAGAATTTAAGATAAGAAGGTGATCTGGTGGCAGCAAAGTAGAGAACTCTTCAGAGTAGAGCATGTGGACCTTCATCTTCTTCCAACAAGATACTTTTCAAATGTCTCATCCAGGTTCTTCCTGATTCCCAGAAGGCAGAGCTGGTTGATATGCTGTGTTAGCATTAAACCACAATATAAGCTGGGCAATTTGGATGAAGTAAAGCCAAAGGAAACAGAGAAGCATCAATTCTGCAGTAGCAAGCTCACAAAGAAAGCATTTAATTTTTTTTAAAAAGATCCTTCAGGATATTTATTTCAACTGGAGCCCATGAAGCAGATTTACAGTAACACTGGATGCCTTACCTGAAGGGTCATTTGTATGTACAAGGAATAATCCAGATTATTAGTTTAAAAAGGAAATGACAGCACAGATAAACAATTGGTCTTCCATTTTTAGCATGCATCACCCTCACACATGCCCCCTTCCTATCCTACAATATTGCCATAGGTAATTGCCACTTCTGACAACAGAAACAGGAAAGTAATGCACTCTCAAACTCTTTATCAAGTCTAGACCACTGACTGGATAATCTGGTCATGGTCATTCAGTGATTTAAGATGCAAGTACTACTTTGTATTTATTGACTCCTGGACTTTTCAAGGTTATAACTTACAATCCAGTATAAAAAGATGTTCAATTTTTCCAATGGTTTATCCGAAAACACAGCTGAAGGGACTTAGGTAATAGATCATATGCAATTTGTCATAAGGGCTAATCAGATACTTCCTTGAAACTGAGAAGCACCCCTCCACCCCTGCTCTCCAATGGACACTGAAGTTCCATATAGGCATTGTGACTGGTAGTCACTGATGTTGGTCATCAAATGGCATCCATTCTGACTTCCTACATGGAATCCATTCTGACTTCCTAAGACCAGGAATCTGTTGGCAGCCTTTTCCTTGGACCTTTTCACTGATAATTCTGGGAGAGAAGTGGATTTGTATAAAGCTAACTTATAAGAGAATGATTTGTGTATGTACTCACTATATCTTTATATATAGCGTAATAAAATTTGGGGGCAAGGAGGGAAGAAAAAGAATACCTGGAAGCCCATTTCCCTCTGCTTTGAAGAGGTTTAAGCAATAGCTCTGAAACCTGGACATCTTTTGAAGAGAAGGAAGCCAGAAAATCTTGCTTACAAGAAGGCTGAAACTGAAAAGTATGTGAAGGAATGTGGGTTTGACTCAGACAAGGGGGAGGGGAATGCTAAGCAGTTATAAAAAAGATATCTGGGTCCTGGGAAAATAGAAAGCTCGAGAAAGAAACTTAAAACAACTCTACCTTGATTGTGTTGGGTATAAAATGAAATATAGAGGGGCTTTGACAGGCTTTCAAGATTCTATTACAATACCCAAACTGCATTGAAGTACATTCCAAGACTCCTAATGACTCTTGTTTCCTGACCTTGCCCACCTCAAAAGGCTGACAGCGTGGCAGCAATCCGGGAGAATCAGATGAACAAGAAAACTTGTGTGTTGGGGGAAATTGATGGATCTGATGGGGTCAGGCATTAGTGGCTCCCTGAAGCAACCAACACACCAGCACAAGGTTTCTTTTATTGCAGTCATAGCAACCATCTCCTCCTTTTGCAACGGAAGAGGGCAACGTGATTTGTTTCAACAAGATCTTTTGGGGGCAGAGGAAGAAGCATTGTGGCAAATGGCTGAGGAAGGGCAGAGAAGAAATATTCAATGACTGGAACAGCAATGATGTCATGGGACCGAGATAAGAGAAATGGGGGTGGGGAGGGGAAAGAGAACAAGTAAGTAGATTTCAGGTAGCAGAGAAGTCTTCTGCAACAGGAGTGGTAGAAAGGATTGTTTCATTTGAGAGGAATTACCTCAGAAGAAGTTAATAACAGATATAGTTCCCTTGATTCTCATGGATCTAAATTGTCCATCATACAACAAAATATCAAGAACAAAAAAATGGGGCAGGGAGAGGGGGATAGAATGTGACTGTAGAGCTATGGATCAGTCTAATGTCATTTGTCATATACATTGCTCCAGACATAATCAAGCTTTCCAGAAATCTGGGGCTCGCCCTTGTCTTACATTCTGACAAAGTTCATGCCAGAGATCTTTGCAACAAAGCAGTCCAACTAAGAGCTGTAATTTGTAGAGTCACCAGTTGCAAGAGTGGAATGAAAGAAGTAGAGCCAAAGGAGACACTGCTGGTTTCTTGGTCAGCAAAGCAAAAGAAAGACAAAAGCCAAAGATCTGGCTTATGTACTGAAGGACACTACCAAAGATGAAAGAGATTCAGCCAAAGAGATTCAGTTGCAAGCATTTACGAATAGCTTGCTGTATTTTCATCCATCTGTGCTGCTCAGACTATGGAATCTAGTATCTGATTAAGTGTCCTGGGGTGTTCTACTTTCTTTAAAAAGGAAGACTGCCACAAGTTTCTAGCCCTTACCATTTTAGAGAAGAGCTGAAGAAATAATGTTGAGAAAAGGAGAAATTGAAAAGACTGCCCACGAGACAGGCTTGGGTACCCAGTTCATCCTCCTGGAATTAGATGCTCCAATTCCCCTGCATATGTAACAATCATTGTAGGGACTCAGCTTAAAGGACTAAGACATCAGCACTCTTGTTCTCAGAACAGCTGTTCAAATACCTTTGGGAAGCCACGTGTAGCATGCGTGAACCACAGTATCTTCCATTTGTGTACTACAACAACAGGTATTAAGAGGTAATAAGTATTCTTAATGACTAGTAGCCACTGATTATACACTGTGTGTTTTGTCTAACTCCCTTTTCAAGTTATCCAAGTTGACTTAAATTGTAATAATGGAGAGCAGCAAATCTGTGGCAGCGAATCCCAGAGTTAACTAGGCACTGTGAATTTCCCACCCTCAAGGGCCACTGAATGATCTCAGGTGTTAATATTTCTCCCCATCTATTTCGTTACATCATAAACCATGTTATTATCTATCATTCCCCTTCCCTCCCTATTTACTCACTGTTATACTTATGGTAAAAATCCCCAATGTTACATTCTTTCATGGGAAATTACTCCAGATCTTTCGACATTTTGGTTGCACTTTTCTGCATGATTTTCAGCTCAACATACTTCTGAGGCAACAGGACCAGAAATTGTACATGGTATGCAAAGCTCAACAGTCTTATAAAGGCAGTAGAAGACTAGCAGTTTATTTCAGAGACAGCATTTATCTTTTTGCCCCATTGTGTATCACTTCTAATCTTGCTTACACTGAGTTATGTTGCTATTTTAATCAACATAATACCCAGCTGAGGAATGCTTTTAGAGCTGTTACCTGTTTTTGCTTTTAATACTCTAAATCATTGTTTCTCAAACTTGGCAACTTTAAGATGGGTGGACTTCAATTCACAGAATACCCCAGCCAGCATGCTGGAGGCCATTACAGATAGAGGTCAATATCTACAGGTTTGTTTGGTGACAATCATGGTATATGAAAGATTGTCACTTAAGCATGAACTAAATGAAAAAATGAACGAAAGAATGAAAAAAAAACCCAGATACATACTGAGTTTTTGAAGTTAAGAGAAAAGTAAAGGATGTAACAGATGCGAATGAAGGATCTTGTAGAGAGAAGTTGATGAATACACATGCAGTTTAATTATGAATGGAAGAGCTACAATGAATGCCAGAAAGTATGTATTAGTATCATCTAGGTGAATGTGGGTGCACAGAAATGTAAGAATCCATAGCTTGGTGATAGTCAAATGTTGTATTCTAGTGACTGGCGGTACAAGTAAGAGTTGAGAAAAATTGTGCATCATTAGAAGTATTGAAATCCAGGGGGAAATTATTCTGTTAGGTGATATGAATGGATGGGTGGGAACAAGGTGAGAGTGTGCAGAAGGTGGTGACTGGTCCATTCGGAGGCTCAAGAATGAATGAGAATTGGGACTCTCTGGTGAGTATCTGCTTAGAAAAATCTCTATTCGTTTCAGTTATGTGGTTTAAATATAAGTCTATCACAACACACACAGCAAAAGAATGCACATAAATCTAAAAGAATGACTGATGTGATAGTTCATGACGAAAGACTGGAGAATTAGAGAAGGATACAAGGGCAATGAGCAGTTCTGAATATGGGACAGATCACTTCTTGGTAGTATCAAGAGTGGATCTTCAGAAAAAAATAGACATGGAAGAGAAGGAAAGAAAAAATGACAGTGAAAGTAGAACAAGTGTATGAAGAGTAAGCATGGGCCCTGAATGAGAAAGTATTAGATTTTTCTCCCAACAGAATATAAAGAAAGTGGGCATAAAGAAAGAGAATATGGAAGCCGCTTGGAACAGAGTGAGAAGAATTATGTTGCAGAGTGTCACAGAACTGTATGGAGTCATCATACTAAGGGGTAGTATGAAAAGGATGCTTGCCCCACATACTGCTTAGGAAGAAGGGAACGGCAAACCATTGTGGGCCCTTTCACCA